GGGAGGGGGAGAGGGGAGGAGGGAGAGGAGGCCCCACCCACCCAGCCCAGGGGACAGAGGAAGAGGACGTGTCCACCCCAGGGCCTCAGTTTCCCTGTCTGTGAAATGGGAGCAGATGAGTGGCCGCCCTGGGGTCTCGGGGTGCACCTTCTGGGGTGCAGGGGGGTTTCCCCCAGCCAGGTCCACGCAGAAGAACCTCAAGGCGGGGTGAAGAGATACTCAGTGTCAGAGGTCAAGGGCATCGGGGACCCCGTGGCAGAGGTGACCTGGCCTCCCACAGGGCCCTGGGAGCCGGGATGCCCTGTCCCCACCCCCCCCCCATTGAGGGTCCCCAGGTGCCGAGGGGGGAGGTGGGAAGGGAGCCTGGAACCTAGGGTGGGGCTCCCTGGGGATCTGGGGGGAGGGCTGCAGGCAGACAGTGCAAAGGTCCTGGGGTAGCAACCTGCCGGGACTGACTGCTGGACCGTGAGGCTGGGGGGGCTGGAGGAGACGGAGTGACGGGGCCAGAGGATGGACACAGGGCTTGGGGGACCACTGTGACCATGGTGGCTTTTACAGATCCGAGCGTCTCAACAGACAGGTTTTTCACTGTGGGGTCAAAATAGGGGAATAGAGGGCAAGAGAGGAGGCAGGGAGGCCAGGAGGGAGGCCGGCCAGGAGGGAGGCCGGGGCTAATGTCCAAGGTCTAAGTTGGGACCTGCCCTTGACCTCAGAAACCGCAGGTGGAGGAGCCCCCTGTGTCCCCATCTGGGGTCTCCACCCAGCCCCACCCCCAGGGTGCTCCTGTGTGACCAGGGAGCTCACACAGGAGTGGGGACTGGGGACTTTGACAGTGACAGCCTCCCTTCCTGGCACAGACCCTGCGCTCGACACCCAGGCAGGACCAGAAGGGGCTCCAGGGGACGTCCCCTGAGCCTGGCGGGAGTCGGGCGAGACCTCCCCCAGCAGGTGAAAAGAGTCGGCCTCCGTGTCTCTGTCTGTGAAATGGGGCACGGGTTCAGGGGTGTTTGGGGACAGGAGGCCGCAGGAGCCCGTCTTCCTCTGGGTGGGACGGAGGCCGGTCTGTGTTCAGCTGTGAGGCCCCAGAAAGAAAGGAGAGGCCTGGCGCGGTGGCCCACGCCTGTCCTCCCAGGGGCTCGGGAGGCTGAGGCAGGAGGATCGCAAGGTGGAGGCCGGCCTCCACAAGTCAGCCACTCAGCGAGACCCTGTCTCTAAATAAGATAGAAAAGGGGCTGGGGACGGGGCTCCGGGGTTGAGCGCCCCTGGGTTCCGTCCCTGGAACCAGAAGAAATAAAGGAGGCGGTGGGTGAGGCCCTGTCACCGGGGTCCTGGGGCGCTGAAGGACACGGGCGCCTTGCAAACACCCGGGTGTCTGCTGTCCGCCCAGCGCCAGCCCCGGCGGCCACCCGGGCTGTGGGGCAGCGGTAATTGAATTGGCCCTGGCAGCTGTCGGTACTAGATAGACACTCGACGCGGCCGGGCTGCCCCCTCATTAGTGACATTAGCAGGTCGGCGGGGACAGAGGTCAGGTGGTTGATGTGGTGGAGGGGACTTTGATGGAGTGAGTCCTGGAGTCGGCCCGAGTGGAGGTCCCACCTTCTGTGCGTCCGGGGACTCCCCTGCCCTCTTCTCCTAACCTGGTTAGGGGACCTCCAGCTGCTGGCTGTCCCCAGGGGGCCCTCAGAGCCAGGTCCCTGGGAACAGGGGGCCAGGCAGGGTCTCCGGACGTGGCCGCTGCGGCCAGATCAAGTGCCTCCGCCTCCCTGGCCCCTGGGATGACAGGAGCTGGCCCCAATAGACATCTTTTTAAGAGCAGCCCAGGGGACTCGGATAATCCGAACACGGTCCCTTGTTTCTTTAGGGCCAGCATCATCCCATGACACGGAAGTCCCTCCCCATCAAAGGAGTCTGCCCTGCACTGCCTGGAGGAAGCTCTGGCTCTGCCTGGCTGGGACCTGCTCTTTGTGACCCTTTAGCTCCAAGGACTAAAAACAGGCTTTGTCCTGGGAGATAGGCAAAGGCCCTGAGGTTACCAGAATTTTGCGTGTGCAAAGGCCCTGAGGTTACCAGAACTTTGCGTGTGCAAAGGCCCTGAGGTTACCAGAATTTGGATTCAGTGGAGATACAGGAGTGGGATCCGCATAGTGAGAGCTGAGGGTGGGGGGGGGTGTCAGGGGAGGCCAGAGAGGTGGGCAGGGTTAGGCCATCGTCATGTTAAGATGCAGGTGAGGCCAGCCGTGTTTACACTTGGGGCATTGGAAACCACAGAAGGTTTAAAGCAAGTCCCACAACGGGGACCTGGGTGACTGGGATCTGGCGTGGCTGCTTCATGAAGAACCACGTGGCCTGGAACGGGGAAGCCTGGAGAGAGAGCGACAGGGACCATGGGGGGAATTGACGGTGCGTGGGACCGCCACTTGAGGCTGGATCGGAAGTGACAGTCACGGTCCTGGGGAACCCAGGTGCTGCAGATGAGAGAGATTAAAATCTGTGCGCAGGGCTGGGGGTGTCACTCCGGGATGAGGTGCTGGCTCAGCATGCACAGGGCCCTGGGTGTCATCCCTAACACCAGAAGCAAAACATCAACCACCTGTCATCCCGGGGAGGCTGAGGCAGGAGGATCGCAAGGTGGAGGCCAGCCTCTGCCACTTAGCAAGGCCCTGAGCCACTCAGCGAGACCCTGTCTCTAAATCAAATAGAAAAAGGGGTGGGGACGGGGCTCAGGGGTGAAGCATGCCAAGTTCCATCCCGTCGCCCACATCCAGCTGCAGAAAAATGTCCCAGATGTTTTCCCCCTGGGACAGTCTGGTCACCTGTCCCTTGGTTGGACGGATCCCGCCCTGTTTCCTCCCTGCCAGGTCATCACCACAGACACGCAGTGCGGACCGCCGTCCTTGAAGTCACTTGGTGAATTTATTCATCGTCAGCCTAAGACTGTGGCCCCCGGGGTGTGGGGGGGTGTCGGGGACAGCAGCCGGTGGCCGGTGGGGGGGGGGCGGGGTGGCCCGAGTGGCCCGTTACTTGCTGTCCACCCTCTTGAGCTGTTCCTTGCCGTTGATGGTCACCGACTTGAGCTGCCCGTCCTCCTCCACCTCCACGCGCTCCTGCCCGTTCTCCACGATGCGCTTGGTGGTCACCTTGTGCCCGTTGACCATCTCCGTGGACGACATCACCGACTTGAACCCCGAGCTCCCGGAGCCGGACCCCCCAAAGGAGGTGGAGGAGAAGGTGGTGCGGCTGCCCCCGCTCCGGCCCAGGACATCGAAGTTGGAGAAGGCCTCCATGAAGGCCGGGAACTCGCCAAAGCCCGCCGAGAAGGCCCCTCGCAGGCCATGTCCCCTGCTGGCCCGGTCACTGCCGAAGGGGACATCCCAGAAGTCAAAGGAGAAAGGGTCCAGGCCACCAAAGAACTCACGGAAGATGTCCTCGGGGTTTCGGAAGGTGTAGCCCGTGTCGAAGGGACTGTTGTAGGGGGTGCTGGCCCCGCCACCTGCCCGCCAGCTGTCACACCCCGCCCTGTCATACAGGGAGCGCTTCTTGGAGTCGGACAGGACCTCGTAGGCCTCCGACACCTGCTTGAACTTCTTCTCGGCCTCCTCCTTGTTGTCGGGGTTCTTGTCGGGGTGCCACCGCAAAGCCAGCTTGCGGTAGGCCTTCTTGATGTCCTCTGGGGACGCGCTGGACTGGACCCCCAGCACTTCGTAGTAGTTGGCCATGCCGAGGGGTGGGGGGGGGGAGGAACGGGGAGCAGGTGGGAGCCGAGGGTCACAGTGGCCCCCGGATGGCTGGGGCCTGGGTGCAAGGGCTGGATGGGCACGTCGGGGCGCAGCGGCTGGGCCTCGGCGGGTCTCTGGCGGGCTCCGGGCTGGACTGTGCCCGGTGGCTTTAGCTTTTCATAGTACGAGTTCCCGGGGGACAGCTGGGGCCTCCACTGGGAGGGGTGGGGGGGAGGGGAGGGACAGTGCCGCAGTGGGCCTGGTGGGGTGGGCCCCCCTCCAGAGCTGGGACCAGGGGACCCCTTTGTGACATCAGTTCCTGGGGTGGGGCCTAGGGGCCACACAAGGCCTGGCTCTGCCAATGAGGTGGGCCACCGCGGTGACCCTGGGACGAAACCCAGTCACCCTGGGGCTGCCGGCTGAGCCTCCGCTGACCAAGGAGCAGAGGCCGCCGGATGAGCCTCTGGGATCGGGCCTCGGTTTGGGCGATGAAGGTCAGTGCTAGTGGTTCGTCGCGGCTCAACCAACTTGGGTCGTTTGTTTTGGGGTACCAGGGATGGAACCCAGGGGTGCTTCACCCCTGAGCCCCGTCCCCAGCCCTTTTTCTATTTTATTTACAGACAGAGTCTCGCTGAGTGGCTCAGGGCCTTGCTTTGGCTGAGGCTGGCCTCCACCTTGCAATCCTCCTGCCTCAGCCTCCCAGGCCACTGAGATGACAGGCGGGCGCCACTGTACCTGGCCATTTTATTGTCCACCCATCCACCCACCCACCCACTTGGGCTAACCCAAGTCTCTTGACAGGACAAATTGACAGACAAAGAGTCCCAGGGCCAGTAGCTGCCGGTGAAGACCACATTTCTGTTGCAGGACTCTGTTAACATCCTTCGAACGTGTCCTCCTGGTCAGGCTCGCCCATGGGACCTGGAGAAACACACCGGCTCTGTGGTCTTCCACCAGGATGGACGCAGCTGCAGCAGAGCTGTCGTTGACCATGGTCATGTCACACAGGCCACCCCTGATGATGGAGAAGACGGTTAAAATGGGCAAAGGGATCGTGGTCGCAGCGTCACGTGAAGGTACGGTGTTGGCGGGATCATAATTGTGTGGCAACGGTGGAGCTGATGATGGGCTAGGGGAAGGTGGCCGTGTCCTGATGGAGGTGACAGTGATAGCTCGATGGTGGAGGAGGTGTTGCTAGGATGGGGAGGTGACAGAAATAACTACTAGAGAAGCTACTGTGTGTGTGTGGTTGGTGTTGGCAATGGAAACGGTCCCGGTGAAGATGGTGGCATCTATGGAAGGTACACCTCATTGAGCTTCCTCACAACGTGGCCTCCCCACACCTCATTGAGCTTCCTCACGACATGGCCTCCCCACACCTCATTGAGCTTCCTCACAACATGGCCTCCCCACACCTCATGGAGCTTCCTCACAACATGGCCTCCCCACGTCTCATCGAGCTTCCTCACAACATGGCCTCCCCACATCCCGTCGAGCTTCTGGATGATGGTGGACAGGACGGCTGTGGGAAAGGGGACGTCAGCCGGTGAAGGTGGCAGGTGCTATGGGGAAGGTGGGGCTCTGGGTTTTCCGTCACTATCTCAAGACCCCTGAAAGGGTCTTCTTGCAAAAGCCTAGAAGATTCTTCTGGAACCCCCGCCCTTACCCTGTGATTCCATATAAGTCGCCCAGGCATGAGATTTTTGAACCTGGAAGAAAAAGAGTCAGTTGTGGACAGCGGGTCCCCAGAGGTCGCCGCAATTTCTGTGCCAGTTTCGGTGACTCTTCTGCTCCGGGTGCCTGCTGGGCTGTTGAGGGACTTGTGACCGTGTGTCTGTCATGGTGATGGTGGTCCCGATGCTGGTGGACACGGTGACGGTGGTGACACGGTGGTTGTGACACTCAGTGGTGATCAGTGGGAAGGAGATGGTGGTGCTGACGTTCAGATCAACGGTGGTGATCAGTGGGAAGGAGATGGTGGTGATGACGGTCATATCAATGATGATAAGTGTTGGGGAGGAGATGTTGGTGGTGACGGTCATATCAGCGATGGTCGGGACAGCGACAGTGTCAGAGAAGGTGGACATGGCAGGGGGGTGTTCATGGGGATGGTGACATCGGGATTGGTAAAGGTGACAATCAGCACAGCGTTGTGGGTGGTCCCAATGTTAAGAGACAAGGGACCCAGAAAGATAGGTGTCCAAGAATCACATCACCGTTCCCCTGACCCGGGCTCCTCTCTCTCCATCCTGGGGGACTCTCTGGGGCTGACCGCCACCGTCTCCCACGAGGGACTCTGTTTCCTGGCGGTCTCAGGGCACCCCGGCTCCTCATCCTGCTCCAGGCCCCTGGGCAGAAGGATCCAATGCCCAGGCAGGCTCAGAGAGGGCAAGGTACACCCAAGGTCACACAGCAGTCCCGGGAAGCCTTCCCCAGAGGGCGGGCCAGACGGATGTAGACCGGTGAGGTCCCCAATTGGGATTCTCAGCAGCCAGAGGCCCCTCTCTGTCTCGGTAATTAATGGAGTGGCTTCTTAAAAGGATTCTAATCACCCCCGATCCTATCTGCTTATCACATGCGTCCCTAATTAGATGATCCTAGCAGTCATTCAGCTAATTCCCTCCAGCCCCGGGCAGCCCTGCCCTGCCCAGCCGTCCCCACCCCACTCCCAGGCCACCCTGCCCCGGCCAGATGGACCCCTGGGGGACTTCTCTCGGGGCTCTGTAACTGCATTACCACCAGGATGGATGGGTGACACAGGGGACGGATGAGCTGGGAGGTGACAGGTGGGTGAGGTGGGTGTATGGGTGGGCGAGCAGACGGACAGACAGACAGAGAGATGACCTGGCAGTTAAGGGGTCCTCGTCTTGCCCGGTCAGACAAGCTGGGTTCCAATCCCAGCTCTGCCAATCTCTAGCTGTGTGTTCTTGGGGAAGTTACTTAACCTCTCTTATCTCGGTTTCCTTATTTCATCAGGAAAAAGGGAGGGTGGTGACCAACTCTGCCCTCGTGGCGAGAGGGTTGTGTAAGTGTGTGCAGTGACAGATGGGGCCGATGGTGGCTGACGAGACAGACCCAATAAGGGGACGGATTGATGACGAGGAACGGGGAGGTGCGGTAGGCGGATGGGTCCTTGGTAGAAGGGATAGAAAGGTGCAGATGGGTACTGAGGTGGGCAGGCGGGTGGTTACTCAATAGTAGGAGAGTTTTTCCAGGTGACATGAGGCACACGCCCATCATCCCGGCAGCTCAGGAGGCTGAGGCAGGAGGATCTCAAGGTGGAGGCCAGCCTCAGCCACTTAGTGAGGCTGTAAACAACTCAATGAGACCCTGTCTCTAAATAAGATATGAAAAGGGCTGCGGACAGGGTTCTGGGGTTCATAGGGCCCCTGGGTTCAACCCCCCAAATAGCCAGAGAGTTCATGAATGCCCACAGGGAGTCGTGGGAAGTGGACCATGATGGCAGGTCACCTGTCTTCTTTTCTGGCACAGATGGGGTTCAGACCTCTGGAAAGGCTTCCTGTCCACCCATCCACCATCCACCACCCACCATCCACCATCCACCATCCACCATCCACCATCCACCAC